CTACACGACTGGCTATAACTCTCGAAAGGACGTCCGGAATATCACGTGATCCGTTCGTAGCGTTCGATCGGAGCACGATATTCGTCGATGTCGTTGCAACGTCTTATCTGTAACGGCAACGTTCGTCGATCTTTGCTTCCGCGTTCGGAGTGCGGGAACAGTACCGTGAAGCGACACTGGAACACGTTCGGTCGTCTCAATTATTCGTGCTTCTAGTCGGACGGTCAGTGTTCAACGGCGTGTCAAGCGGCCGGTTAATTAATTACGAGTTATACGATCGGGGCGACTGACATTCGTCCCGACCGTTTAGACAGGAGGCGTCGCTATTACCCGGGCTTCGAAAAACGGCACTACGACCTGAAGTTGTCGCATTCGCGGTCGCGCGCGCGCGCGTGATCAGTTATTCGAGTGTAAAAGAATTTACGTCGTTACAAACGCGATTCCTACGGCGAAAGTGAGCGACGGGCAGTGTAGTAGGAGAGGAGAGTGGATCGCAAATAGGGAACAGAAACACGGAGGCGAGTTCTCTCACGAGAGTCTCGGAATCGGAGTGCATACGTACAATCGAGGACGAAAGAAAGAAGGCTGGTAAAACATGTCGAGGCTGCTGAAAGGTGAACCGACGGGCGGTTGTATCGTCGACTCTATCGCGGATCGTCGAATGTATTAACCCGGCCGCAAATGAGGCGTATCGTGGCGTAAGCGAAGAAAAATACGGCGGCGGAGGACGAGCACTGGGCACACATCGGGATCTGCCGGGGAAACAGAGTCTTCTGATCTAGCCAAAGAAAGAAAAGCAGGCCAGGCGTCGTGCCTCCCACTGCCTACCGGAAGTCATATGCCCATACACGCGCGGAAAACGGTAAATCATCGTAGCAGCCATCGGCTATAACGAGCGTACACGTTTATTTTGCATTGGACCGAAGCACGCCTGCCCCCTTCACCTCTGTTCGTTTTGTTTTTCTTGGTTCGCCTACCGTTGTTTCGTCCTTGCTTAAGGTACGTCCACAATATATAAACCTTTTCTTCCCGATATTCGCGTAACGTTGCATGCGTAAGACAGTGAGGATTTTCGTCCTTGACGCTGTGTTAATATATGAAAATGACGTTAATTGGCTTTTTGCGCGAGACACGAGAGTAGCAATGGTTTACCTTTTTTATTACAAGCTTATTTTTAACGATGACACAGTGACATAAATCCGATGAATTTTTCGACGTTTCCATTTGCACCTGCGTATTCGCGTATCCGATTCTATCGAAATACGGACATAATTATTTTGTCAGAAATGTTTGACACACATTTTCGTATTCGCGTATCCGATTCTATCGAAATACGGACATAATTATTTTGTCAGAAATGTTTGACACGACGCGACGTACAGGTTATGTTCGCTCGTAATCGTTCGCAGATCGGTCGTTTTTTTTTCACATTTCTCCCCGTGTTTGATACAAAAATACAAAATAAATTAGAAATCAATGCACGGGCGGAGACTTCAAAGCGAGGAGAAAAAAAAATCGGCGCGCTCAGCGGTCTGCATTCCGCTCGTATTCTCGTTCTGACAAGTTTCGAGCGTGAAAAGCGTAAAAAGTTCGGCGCGCAAAGTGTAAAGCTTTAAAACCACGGTGTAAGCGTTCCAATACGATTTTCGATTTCTCTCGTTTCTCAAACTTGCTCCTTGAGAGATTCACTATTCCGTTGCATTCTCGAGATTCTTGTAGCTCCAATTTCAACTATAGCCCCGCGGTACTTTTCCCGATTCCCCGGAAACACGCTCGAATCGCGTATACCGCCCGAGTTCGTGGTTTTATTTTCCCGCTGCCATCTTAGAGGGTCACGTGACCGCGGGAAGAGGACAATAGATGGCGTCTATTTCTCGCGGTACACGGGCACGCGTGGCAGTCTCCCGGCCGCTTTTTAACCCTCGACGTCTGTCACTTCCACGAAATTGGTGCGTTCGTGCAAGAATTTGTGCTCGTTAACGAAGGCACGATCGCGTGAGTGAGCAGTTGCGAAATTAGCCGCGCCGCGTCGTCGCGTAATACCCGATTACGAATTATTGGACAAAGGGTTTACGAGCGATGGCGGAGTATCGACGCGTTGCTGCAGGTACGAAATGATCTGGAACTCCGAGCGACGTGTGTTTCCTCCCCTCGTTTCTCGTGTGCGGCGGCTGTTTTCTTTTTCCTCTTCCCCACCTCTCACCTTTCTCACTCGTCCTCCTTCTATCCGTCCTTCTTCCCCATTCCGCCTCTTGTTCTCTCTTTCAGGCCATAAACAACCGGTGCCCGACGTTTGCCGAGGTTATTGGTTTTTGCGAGGGCACGACAGTGCCGTATACACGCGTCTGGTAGACCCGACCTCATGGCCACTGCTTCTCTCTCTCTTTCTCTCTGCCGTTCCTCTCTGCTTCATTCTTGCATTCGGTATCTTTATCTTTCTAACGTTCGTGATCATCTCTTTCGTCCGTCCTTGTCCAGCCCCCACATACGTGCTCGCCTATATACACGCGATTCCGCGACACAGTCCACGCACACAAAGAGAGATGTACTCGGCGTGCGCTTCGCGTGGGCAGCGGTAGAACTCGCACGAGACTAATTCCCAGAGACAAACACTTTAATTATAACGTTGCCGCTCGCGTATACCTACGTGCCGCACGATCGCGATATCGACGCTTTTATTAAACACGAGCACCTTCAACGATGCTAACGCTATTATCCGATTACCGGCGGAGCGTGCCGCGCGTACGCGCGAATTTCATACAACGGATCGCGACCTGTTGTGCCTCCTTTTTCGTTCGAGATCTTTTCCCGCGGTCCAGTTTTTTCCCATCGTTACCTTTCCACGATCGTTTAACCTCAAAACCGTTCAAAATATCCGAAATACGCGCGTATAGGACCGAGCCGTTGGATCGTAATATACGCTAGCGCGTGCGCTCGCGGCCATGTCCGGGATTAATTTGAAATTAATTGAAAACGAGTTCGAAACGAGTTTGGAAATTAATTCGGAATTAACGGGAGCGTATTTTGCGTCACGGTTTCGAGTATTTCATCAGCGTTGAGCGTATTAGGACATAACCTTGGATTACCGTGCCAAGAGTATCGCGTATTGAACATAGCTCCTTATAATACCCTGACCGTGGTCAATACGCGTATACGAGCGTCCGTGTACGGGCTATCGGCACCTGTAGACGTATTTGGTTGCAGTGTTCTCCGGTGAACGTTCGCAAATGTAAGATTGCGTTTCTGAGATCACTGTAACCCAGATACCGTGCCGAATCAACAAGTATCGCGTTGTCGATACGTAACGCGGATCGCGGGCGGAGAGGGGCCCGGAGGGGAGAGATCGAAGGAAATTCCACGCGATGATGGAATGGAATTAAGAATTGCAAGTATCTCGTGTCTGGCGAGCTCGAAATATCCCAGCTATCGGGTAACGTCTTAGCGTCGCATGCGAGAACGCGCGATAAAAACCGATTTAAACAACGTCATGGACGCCCATGGGCGACGAATGGACGGTGCCGGACAACGGAACGAGAAGTCCAGAATATTGGTCCATTTTACGCGACCATCGAAGGGTTGATTTAATTACATCGGCGAACACGAGTGTCAACCCCCTCGCCCCCTCTCCCCATCTTCCCCCGGTTGCGACGCCGTTGTTGCGCGTACGACCCCCTGTCAATTTTTTCCTACCATCGGTACATCGTCCCTGTACGTCTATGTATCCAGCTACCAAAGCCGAAAAAACATTGGCTGCACTTTCTGCATCGTCGTCCCGTTGATCCGTACGCGTCACGTAGGTGGCCATAGGTACGTGTACACGACCTGATACCGAGTTTCGGGGAATAATGGCGGTACCGCGTCCTGCCGTCGATTCATTTTTACCCAATTTCACGCACCGGTACACCGCCATCCACCCCCGA